TTCTAATGGTGTTTGTAAATAGGATATCATGTCTGCATCTTGTACAGCAATTAACCACTAGGAAGAATGTATGCAATGTGTTAATTATTGAAACTCTCCTACCAAAAAAAAAGAAAACACTTAGAAATTAAGGAAAAACAGTAAATTTGGAAAATAAGGGAATTAATTACTCTTATAAATTAAGGGAAATCTGTAATGAATTAGGGTTAATAGAGCAATTTTTATTGATCCTTTCCTACAGGTGGACAAATAAATCAGCATTGCACTAGCCCCCGCTGACCAATAATGTATTGATTAGACATAATTACCAAACTGTCTCGCTTAACATATTTGTGAAAGGAATTAAGAATAGGTAGGACTTTTTGGTCAAAATTTTTCTGCCTAAAACTAAGTTTGTAGATTTGTTATTAACAACAATAATAAACCATATATAAATTTATATAGACTAACACTATGTTGACAGTACTATATGCTTGTTTGCTTTTGTACTTTTTAAGTTCTTATCATCTTGTTCTAGGCAAATGAGCTTCTCCAGCATTCTCGACAAGTTCAAAGTAAGACTGAAAAGGAAAGAATGTTAAGGGATTCTTTGAGGGAGTATCAAAAAATCAGCAATCAAGTGGACCTTTCCAGTGTTTGTGCTCAGTATAGACAAGGTGAAAAATGTGCTTTATATAAGTCTTTTACTTAGCTCAAGAGGATAAATGACATGTGTGAATTGAGTAAGACAATGATGAAGAACCCGATCCTTCCCAAATCTTCCTTTACATCAGTGGCCCTTGTGATAACCTTGAAATGGACAATTATTATCCCTCACGGCCAAGGGTTAATTCTGGGCTTTGTGCTTGGAAAGCAAGTCCTATCTGTAACCTGTATCCCTCACTGGAATTACGTAGCTTTCTACCATTAGAGTTCCAGGCTTTCCCTAGTTACACTTATTTTTTGACTAATTTTAGAAAAAAAACTATTAAAAGAAGTATTATTTTGCATTCTTTGCCCTTCCCCCACAAAGAACAGTAGCCTTCCTGTTATTTTAAATACAAAAAATATTTCCTAGTGAAGAAATTTATGTATTAGTTGCTTTTTGGGCATATGAGGACCTTTTTCTTTGGAAGACTCATCAAATATTTGATGATAGAGGCCAGGGAGATTGAGTGGCTCAGTGGAATAAGCGCTTCCCTGGCAAGCGCAAGGGCCTGAGTTCAATCCCCGGTTCCACAAAAAAAAAAAAAAAAAAAAAAAAAAAAATTGATAGACTAGAAACATAGCTTTAATGATTATTTTCATATGCCACTAAAGAAAATAATATCTAATTTAGTAATAAGCCTTCAGTATATGTCCTTTTTCTTTCCCATTAGTGCGTTTTTATGAGGGAGTAGTGGAACTCTCTCTTACTGCTGCAGAGAAAAAAGATCCTCAAGGTCTTGGGCTTCATTTCTATAAACATGGAGAACCAGAAGAAGACATAGTTGGACTCCAGGCTTTCCACGAAAGGTGAGTTTTAGTCCCTGCCCAGATTGCCATCTTTGCTGATGGAGTTTTCTTTGTATAAAGTTTTAATTCATTTTACCTGGGAAATACTCTTTTGAGTATATCACTTATAAAAATTTGATCATGCTTTTACTTTAAGATGACTTACTGTGGGCTGGGGATGTAGCTCAGCAGCACAGTGCTTACCTGGCAGCCTGAGGCTCTTAAGTTCAATGCCTGCATATCGGGGCCTGCGTCATTTGAATTCCTTTTTCTTCTCTTTTTTTTTAAATGCAATTGGTAACAGGGTCTTACTACACAGCTCAGATTCTTAAGTGTTCCTCCTGTTTTCAGCCTCCCCAGAGCTGGCACTATAAGTGTGTGCCACTATGCCCAGTCTCAGTGTCTGGCTCAGGGTGCCCAGGGGCTGAGCTAGCACAACCTGTGGTGCCAGGCATTGAACTGCGGTCCCTGTGCTTGCCTGAGCAGACACTTAGTCCACTGAACTATCTTACTGGTCCTAAAATTCTTTTTCACTCCCTTACCTCCCCTCTTCACCCATCCCTTGGTCCTTTTCCTTTTTATTTAAAAAATATTTTCTTTACATATTTATAGTATGTGATGATTCCTTGCATGGAGTTGGTGCAGGTACATGACACATTCCAAATCCTTTTTTTCATCCTATCCCTTTCCTCCCTCCCTTTTTCTCTCTTAATCCCTTTTCCTTTAAGAATGATCTACCTGCTTCCTATCATGTGTCTTTTATTTTGCTTTTAACTTTTACCTTGGGTTTCTCATAGAAGAGAAACAACAAGATACTGAAGCTTGTGTGTCTGATTTATTTATTTTAGTTAACATTATGGTTTCAAGATATATCTTTTCCTACAAATAACTCAGATTTATCCCTCTTTATGGCACAGTAGTACTGCACAGTGTGTAAATAACACATTTTCTTTATCCTTTTATGTGGTGCTCAACATATAACCTAATTCTAAGATTCAGCTGTTAAGTGTTTTGCTTTGAACGTAAGTGTGCATTTTTCTGCAGTATACCTTTGGGGAACATATCTTGAAGGAGGGAATAGCTGAGTCAAATTGAATTTCTCATTTTAATTTTTTGACAACTGTCCATAGTGCTTATACTAGTTTACATTCCCAACAATATAGGAGGGACTCCTTTTCCCTGCAGCCTCTCCAACACTTCTTATTATTTGATTTCTTGATGATGTTCACTTGTTGCAGGGTAAGATGAGAAATCTCCTTGTTTTAATTTTCATTTCTCTAATAGACAGTGATGCTGAGCCTTTTTATGTGTTTATTGGCCAGTTCTATTTCATTGGTGATATGTTTATTCATTTCAGTTGTCCATTTGTTATTGGGTATTTGTTGCATGGGTAATTTTTCTGAGTTCTTTATGCATATTCTAGATATAACTTCTCTGAGGAATCACTGGGAAAATTTTTTTTTCCCATTCTGTAGGTTGTCTTTTCACTCTGTTATAGTTTCTTTTGCTTGGCAGCAGCTTTTTAGTTTAGTATGAACCCGTTTGTTGATTCTTAATTGTTTCCTATGCAATTGTGGCTTCAGAAAGTCCTTCTTTGCCTATAACTTCAAGAGTTTTACTTGTCTGGTTTCTGGTTTTTTAGTTCTTTGATCTGCTTTAATTTCAGTTTAACACATAGTGAGAGATATGGGTCTAGATTCAGTGTTTTGCATGTGGATAGCAATTTTTGCAACACTTTTTTTTTTTTTTTTTGGTGGTAATGGGGATCGAACTCAGGACCTTGCACTTGTGAGGCAGGTGTTTATGCCTCTGAGCTATCTCCCCAGCCTGCAATACCGTTTTTTAAAGAGACTATCTATCCTCCCATGTATTTTCTCAGGACTTTTGTTAAAGATCAAATAGTTAAATGTACTTGGAATTGTTTCAATATCCTCTGTTCTGTTCCTTTGATTCAGATGTCTGTTTTGTATCAATATCTTCTGTGTTTATCATAGTATCTTTACAATGTAATTCCAAATCTGGGGTTATGAGGTCTCCCATTTTGTTCTTTTTGCCTAGCATTGCTTTTGATATTCTAGGTCTCTTCTGGCTCCATTAGCTAGCTAGCTAGCTAGCTAGCTAGATCTTCCTCTGTCTTCTCTATCTCTGTCTCCCTCCCTGCCTCCTTTGTCCCTCTCCCTCCCTCTCCCTCTGTGTGTGTGTGTGTGGTACTTGGAATCGAATCCAGGACCTTGTGCATACAAGGCAAGCGCTCTACACATCTCCATCCCTCCATATGCGTTTTAAACTTGTTTTCTCCAGTTGTCTAAGTGAAATGGGAAGAGGAGACAAAGATGAGGGTATTATGTCTCATACTGGAGGGAAAGACAAGCTACCTGACATGTTTTGGATATTGAGACAATATTCAAAAGGGTTTTTTTCTTTTTTTGATAATTAAATGCATATGTCTTGTATCCAAAATGTTTTTTGGGTATGTATTTTGCCAAAATGTTTGGCAAGCTGTAGGATCTGCTTGTTCCTTTCTTTCCCTGGGTGATTACTTTGCCCAGGATTGGGTGTAATGGTTAGTCTTTGCCACTGGTGCCCTGGACCTCTTTGGGGGGTGGGTACCACTGGTGCCACTCTTCTGTTGTGAATTTGCTTTGTCATACAGGAGAGAGGGTTACAGGGAATTCTAATTTTAAACCTTAGCTAAAATTGTACTCTGAACTTTTTTTTTCCCTCCATTTGGACAAGGTGTTGCTCTAGTTCATGCTGGCCCTGAACTCAGCTGTGTAACCCAGGATGGCCTTGAACTTACAGTGATCCTTCTACCTTAGCCTCCTGAGTGCTGGGATTACAGGCGTGTGCCATCGTATCCAGCTGAAAAACAAATCTTAAAGACTTTTTTTTTTTTTTTTTTTAAAGAAATGAATTCTGTTCTGAGTACCTCCACAACATTCTGGTGTTGATTATTTACTATCGACAGTATTAATTCATACATTTGAGGTGAGCTAGTGT